CAGAGATTAAGGGATGAAACGGGGGTTGATGGATGGGGAATTTAATTCTCCATTGAACAGTCTTTGTTTCATCCCTTAATATTAATTAGTCGGCGAATAAATCAACTGAAAAACATAAAGTAAACATTGAGTACAAGGAGGACAAAAATCCCCCTCCGAACCTGTCCCTGTCACAGCGGGACTGCTACTGCCGAGTTACTCACGCACCCGACTCACATTTACCGACAATTCGACCGGGACGCCGCCTTTCCCATGGGGTACCAACTAACATTTTTGAAGTCAGTCAAACCCCCCGATCCGGGCCTCTACTCAGGTCTATCCTCTTTGATAGAATATCTGCGTAGACCGGGCGGTTCCATCTTTCGGAGCGTCCCATAGCTATCACAGGTTCCACATTGAAATCCATCCTGCCGATCATGAAAAATAGAGATAAGGAGGCCGAACTCCGTGCATGGCACATGGAACCACAATCCGGGCTTCTCAAGTGTTGTAGGTGGCATTTCAATCGCCCAGTTACACGACGATGGGAGGGGGTAAAATATAGCAGAGTGAGCCTAAACAATTAATGTAATTAATTTATTGTTCCCGATTTACACCCAAGAAATGCACACACCCGCCTTATTTTTTTTTCTCACTAATTGCCCCCAGTCATTCGATTATAAATAATGGAATTCGATTATAACTAAGGCCGGAGACTTCATTTACGAAAACGGCTATTATCAGAAGTTGGCTCCAAATAGGTGATTGAAGTGAGCGACAAGTAGGGTTGGGAAGAAATTGAAACATTGATGTTGGAATTTGCCATAATTCATTGATTGGAGGGTTATTTTGTTGACAGAGTGAGGAAAAGCGTTTGAACGCGAATTGGGTGAAGAGGGTCAATGGGAGATCTTGGCGATTTCTTAAGGGTAACTTACCAGGGGAGCTATCGAGTTCTTTCAAAAGGGGATTAATGGAGGCCATGGTCGAGGGGAGATATTGGGGGTCAGTTTCCAGGACAGCCCTCAGGGTCTTTTAAGGGAGGGG